ATTTGTTATCTTCTTTATTTCAAATTTTATATATTTTCATGTTTTTCCGAATAGGAAAATGGATTCAGCCAATTCATAGAAGACATCAATATTTTCAATTAAGTTTTATTAGATAAACATAACAACGTAGGACGCTCACAACATACGCACATTCATCCCTATAAGCACATGCATGCAAACCCTACTACCCTTATGGACACCTTCGAAGACTAAGCTAACAAATCCTCAAAACGAGATTTGACGGAGTCACCACATGCACCTAGGAACAGAAACCTCGCCTACCACACTGAAAGCACAAATGTTGTTAAATCCTAAAATATTCACTCCCACGAGCAGTCAAACCTAGGACCTCAGGTGCTACGAAGGCTTTTATAACTACTACGATATAGCCCCTTTTGCTTATTCATTATTTTGTATAAATAGGATTTTGTACGGTGAGTATTCTTCAGTTTTTTTATTCATTAGATTGTCAGTATTTTACAAAATATATGTTTTGGAATTTGTCAGTACAGTGTACATGCGAGCCATAGTTACCAATCTAGTACTTTTCGGTACAGCGATCTATATGTCCATTTCCGTAAATATGCATTTGGTGTTTCAAATAAGAAATAAAGGAAGTTTCTATATATATCTTGTTCTATTCATTATTTTCAGTACAATAATGCAAATGATTAAGCTTCATACACGCATTAACTAAATATAAATACATGTACAATACTTGATAAAAATATACTCCATCCATTCCAAATTATAGGTCATTCTAACTTCTTAGAAAGTCAAAGCATCTCATCTTTAACTAAAATTGTAGAGAGAATTACAAAGATTTATGACATCAAATATAAAAATATAATTAATGAAGAATCTAAAGATACTCATTTGTAATCATAAATGGTATTATTTTATTATATAAATTTGGTCAAACTTAAATACTTTGACCTCTAAGAAAGTTGTAATGACTTATACTTTGGTACGGAGGAGTAGCATTAGTATTCTTTAGTAGTACATTTAGTCTACTGAGTTCAACTTTATCCAGACATCATACAAAAATTCAGATGCATGCTACTCAGATCCAAATCATTATATCCCTCCGTTTCTCTTAACCTAGGTTGGAGCAAAACCATGCAAAACTCTGCTTGAGACCCTCCACCGTTTCAGTTGTAATACTATACGACTATCAAAAACGAGATGGCGCTTCCTTAGCTTCTCTAGTTTACAGTTCTACAGAAATCAACAGTTCTGATGATGATTCGGTGTTTTTTTTATTGCTTCATCAGTATTCAATACTTTCTTTCGTTCGTTCATTATTCTGCTTTTTCTCCAGAGAAAGAGGCCACGAGTTGCTCAACAAGCTATCAGGTGCAGTTGTTAGTATTATTTTCATTATTTTATATAAACAGGATTTCGTACGGTTAGTATTTTTTATGTATTTGCATTCATTAGATTGTCAGTATTTTTCAAAATATATGTTTTGGAATTTGTCAGTACAGTGAACATCCGAGCCATAGTTACCAATCTTGTACTTTTCGGTATAGTGATCTATATGTCCATTTCCGTAAATATGCATTTGGTGTTTCAAATAAGAAATAAAGGATGTTTCTATATATATCTTGTTTTATTCATTATTTTTCAGTACAATAATGCAAATGATTAAGCTTCATACAAGCATTAACTAAATAGAAATACATGTACAATGCTAGATAAAGATATACTCCCTCCATTCCAAATTATAAGTCATTCTAACTTTATTGAAGAGTCAAAACACCACAAGTTTGATCAAAATTACAGAGAAAATTAAAAAGATTTATGACATCAAATAGGCATGCTATGAAAATATTATTAATGAAGAATCTAATGATACTCATTTTGTCTCATAAATATTATTTTATTATATAAATTTGGTTAAACTTGAGATGATTTGGTTCCGAGAAAGTTGGAATGAATATACTTTGAGACCAAGGAAGTAGCATTAGTATTCTTCCATAGTACATATAGTCTACTGAGCTTATTTCAGACACGTGTTGACCCCGTCGGACCGGCGACCCCGGTCGGCGACTTATTACAGATGTGAACTCATATTACAGACGCGCGTTCGTCGCGCTGGCGGATATTACAGTTTTTTACATAGTGTGGAGATCAACTTTATTCAGGCGTCTTACAAAAAATCAGATGCATGCTACTCAGATCCAAATCATAATATCCCTCCCTTTTCTCTTAAGCTAGGTTCGAGCCCAACAACCATGCAAATTCTGCTTGAGACCCTCCACCGTTTCAGTAGTAAGACTCTACGACTATCAAAAAACGAGATGGCGCTTCCTTAGCTTCTCTAGTTTACAGTTCTACAGAAATCAACAGTTCTGATGATGATTCGGTGTTTTTTTTATTGCTTCGGTATTCAATACATTCTTTTCGTTCGTTCATTATTCTACTTTTTCTCCAGAGAAAGAGGCCACGAGTTGCTGCAACAGGCTATCAGGTGCAGTGCAGTACAGGTAGCAGGTAGTGATGGTGCGGTTGGGAGGGGCAGCCGCGGGCGGTACGTACTGTGAGATACTGTAGGTGCTTAAGAATGAACGAATGAGTGAGCAAGCTGGTGCAGAAATGGCCATGAAGTAGTTGGATGCTGCGGCAATCAGGTACAGTTGATGGTAGATGGACGAATGCATCGGTGTGTAAAGAGTAGTGAATTGATTGTCTAGCTAGCATGTACCAGCTGATAGAGAGCATGAAAGCAAGGAAAAATACTGGAAAAAAATAAAAATACTGACTACGATAGTAACTAAAGGTGAAAAACTGAACATAAAAATACTGATTTCAGCTGAGGTACAATACTCAGTACATCAAGAATATAGTACTTCCTTCATACAATGGATGATACGGGATTCAAATAAGCATATGAAAGTGAACGTACTGAGAATACTCAGTCGTACCAAACGCATCTTTTTGGGTGAAACAAAAGATACGGAGTGACGGAATGTATAATATATGATAAAGAAACACACATGCAACACACCCTCTTTATCTCTCTTTTCCCATTACACAAGCTTGGGTTATACTAGTATACGGAGACATGGAATTCTTTTTCTTCGGTTGGTGGGCCTGTGCATCCATGGGAGAGGCCACGTGGGAGGATTGGTGACGTGTCCAACTTAATATTCTTGGATCAGCACTGCTTCCGATGGAATTATTGTTGAGCCGAGAGGCTTTGGACCAAGTTTGAGGGCCATTGGACATAGGTCCATGTGCCCGACCCAAGTTAGGGTCGTCCGACCTCTCTGTCCACTTCTAGCTCGACTCGTGTTGTGATCTTCTGCGTAACTTTCTCGTCATGACTCCGAATTGGATCAACCAAAACTTGATTTTGTGTATCTTGAGGAGCTCTTTTGACATGTTGGAGTGAATTTTGGCATTTGATGATGTGTTTTACCATGCCCAAAGTCACCTTGTTTCTACATTCACATAGTCTCACCAAAACTTTTGGAATTGATTACAATTAAGCCCTATGACTATGGTGGATGTCATTTATATTCTCATTTTAGGAATGGTTGATGGTAGGAAATAAGGAATTAGTAACCATCATCATGTGGTACCCTACTTTCAGTGGAGAATGCTTCTCTTGTATCATATGCTCGGGTTTATAGGGGTGCTGATGTGTCACCTATGAGGTGTTGATCGTATTTCACGGGTCACCCCTATCTCCACTTATATAGTCCAGGGCAAGGTTACAAATGGTATGCGAATGATATGAATCTACGGTTTCCTAGTTTGTTACAAAGAGATCCTATTGGATCGATTGGGTTATCACGATTTGCTTGGTCCCTAGGCTATCTAGGCAATATCTTGTCTTCCAAGTAGTTGATGTGTCCTGTCTAGTTTGGGCGTCTTCCTTAGTAGGCTCAGCCCATCCCATCTTGGTCAAGCTTCTCTCCATGTGACGAGGGTAGCGGCCCCCAAAATACCGACACCGCCGATCTTTGTCCCAAACCAAACTGGTAGTAAAGATGATTTTACAGCCAATTTTATTCTCAACTAAGAGGATATATTATCATCAATATAATGGTTTTAACAATACCAGCGATGTATGTTGATGGAAAAACAATTTGTGTAATAGTGATGGGTTTGTTTGAGCAGTTTAACTTCTCATTCGTCTAGAAGTTGTTGCATCACCCACTTGTTAAAATGCGACTGGCTTTATTTAGAAATAGTTACCTCATCCACCTCAATAAATCCATTTGAGCTTCGTGTGATATTTTTCCCCACCTCCTTGAGGTGACAGCATCACGATGTTGCTTGGGAGACGATGACAAATAGATATTGGACTGCACTCACAGGAAAATAATTCATCGATTTTCAGGTCCATCACGATCGACAGGTTATAAATACAGGCTACTCACGGCAACCTTTGCCGGCAGCAGGTCGGGGTGACCTCGGACCATTTGGAAAAGAAGCATTTTGAGAAGAGGCTGTTTGTGATCAGGTCATTCTTATTCTCATTCGCTCATATGCATACTCCAGCATAAAAAACAAAGAACTCGATGGCATCCCTTTCTTGTGTTTTTTCTCCTATTTTGAGAGCATATTTCCTGCATAGTTTCTGATGTGAACGCTACGAAACTGCTTGCTTTTTGTTACCGCTTCAAGGTCCTGCTTAAGATATGACACTTAACTTCGCATCGTTCTCTTGACTAGACTTTACATAGCATCAGAAGTACCTCTCTTGGCTGACTAGTATAGAAACGGTCAATACGTCATTACAAAAGCTGGCAAGTTCTCATTTCACGAAGCCTCCCTTAATAGAATCATATGTCCATAGATAAATTATGAGTAAAATGCACCACATGTCCATTAACTTTTGGAGATGTGTCATTTAGGGTCAACTTTCAAAGTGCATTTTCGGGTCCTTAAACTTTCTATGTTGTGCATTGCAGGACCATAACCATTCAGTTGCTTGGTAATTTTTCATTGGACCCCTTCACTTGAATAACTCTATCTCAAAATAGCCCTCACGAAGAACATCGGTGCCGGCAACCACGCCGTCGCACAGTGAGCATGCGGGGCCAGCCACGTCGCCGCCGCGCCAGGTCAAGAACGCCATAGCCCCGCAGGCAAGCAGGATGGCGGTCGTGCGGGGCCAACCACGCCACCGCCGTTTGAGCGGGACGGGCAGGTGGCCACGTCGCCGCTGGGCGGGCGGGCAACCACATGGGGCCGCCATGCCACCGATGGGCCACCACCCTGTCCTTTGAGTCACGAATCCTCTCACAGAGGAGTACGCACGTGGATGCCCCGAGGAGCGCCTCCATGTTCCGCTTGGCGCTCTTCGTCACGTCGTCGTGCAGCGCTGCCTCGAGCGCATTCTTCATAGCCTCGGCCTCGCGCACCTCTGCTTCGCGTTCTTCAGCGCGTTCTGCATCCACGACGTCACCCGATCACGAGCGTCCGAATCCTTGTGCGGCTGTGCCACTGCCTCCTCCTGCATCGTCTCGGCCTGGCACCTCTGCTTTGCGTTGATGAGCCGCATGAAGTAGATAGGGTAGACAACACGTACCGCTATGCTGATATGAACATTCAGGATAGACGGTGTCGGCGAGCGTGGCCACCTGCGCCACACGAGGTGCACCATGCCATTGTTGATGGATGCGTTTGGATACTATCCGCATCGACAAAGTCGGCATGGCCCCTGCCAGGTCGAGGTCCCCCATCCCCATGTATGCCACTCCGCCTTCGAGGCTGCCTAAGAAGCTGCTGCACTGCTGCAGTAATATAATGTGGATCGGAAAAGCAATCAGCTTGTTGGTTCTAGCGACGTACTCCTACTAGGAAGCAATTAGCAATTAGCTTCAGGGCTGCATACATACGGTGTCATTGTCGCTGGCCACCCACTGGCACTGTTAGTCTTGGAACGGCGGTGAACGCCGACTGCGACGACAGGACGCCGGGGACGGAGTCAAGCTCACGAACTCAGACAAACACAACGCGAACTCGTGTAACACTTAGGTGTTTTGGTGCTGCGATGAAGCGGCAGCTTTTCTGTTCTTCTATTCTTCCTTTTATTGGGAATCACAGCAAAGTCATGCTTGGCCAGTGGCGGCGTGGCTGTCCGGCTGAGCAGCCCGACCACCCGGGCTCCCACTCACCTAGCTGTGGTGTAGCAGGCTCGTCCTAGTGGCGCGCGTGGCTGCCCGGTGCGAACGACTGCCCGGACGCTAGCACGGCAGTTCCGTTGCTAGCCCACCTAGCCGGCTGCCCACTTGCCTGGCGGCAGCGTGGCACAGGCGCCTGCCCGATCCCATGGCGTTGTTGGCCTGGCGCGGCGGTGTGGCTGGCCTGTGCGACCGCCTGCACGCTCGCTGAGCAATAGCATGGCTCCCAACGCCGATGCCTGCTCATGTTCTCTGTAAGGCTATTTTGGGATAGAATTATTGAAGTGAAAGGGTTCAATAAAAAATTACCAAGCAACTGGACGGTTATGAACCTGCAATGCACAACATAGAAAGTTTAGGGACAAAAAATGCACTTTAAAAGTTGATGGACCCAGATGACACCGCTCCAAAAGTTAATGGACTTATGGTGCATTTTACTCATAAATTATTGACCATCTTGTGCGGATAACATGTGTCTCCAATAGTACATTATTTTCTGAACCCAGACAAATACTTCTAGAGGTCAGGATAAATGCGTAAAACTTTAAGATGGGCAGAAAAAAAACATATTCCACCTGTGATCCATTATCACAGGCCTAGTCCATCATTTAGTTACCACACAGGGCGCCTGTGGTGGATCTAGAAAGGGACAAGGGGGGCTAAATAATACTCCATTCTGATCATAAGTTGTAATGTAAACGCAAATTCAAATGACTCCATTCTTTGTATCAATCTAGATCATATAGTTTTCTTTTGACCTTCAGATCCATCTCCACTAATATTCTCTAACATCTCCGGTACAAAGGACCACATGAAAAAAAGATGTGCCAATGTTTTGTGACGTGTACCCGGCCCACCATGTATCACTAGGCATAGCAAGACTAGTTTCTTAGTTTTTCCGTCGCACAGGAAAAATAGCACCACCACGTAATTGCTTTACAAGCATCTCATCATGATTTTGAATGAGTTGATCGTTCCTCTTGCAAGAAGCACTAACAATATTGACAATCGAGAAGTGACATAATTAAAGAAATCAAAGGTTGAACCCAACACTTGGCTACAGAAACTACCACAAGCTGCAATTGATGAGCAAAACAGTGGCTGTAAAAAGAAAATGGGTTTTCATTCTATACCAGTCTATGTAACCCATGAAACTGTCCTCATATTTGAATCACTATCATATCGTTAGCCTCTAATCCTGGAAATAGATAGACCACATCCTATAGTCATAACATCCAATGCTTCCTTTAGTGAAGGTGATGTGGTGTCATCAGAAACATGCTGAATGCCAAGGGACCTCTCAATCACATTTCCTTTATCATTGACAAACATACAAAGAGAAAAGGGAAAGTATAGTTAGTTGAAAACAACAATACAAAACCAATGAAATATAAAAATTAAGAGGTGATATATAGCTCACAACCATAGCCATTTGTTCCTCATAACAAGCACTGCAGAACAACTATCACCTATTTCAATTTTAATTAACTCATTTGTCTCCTCTATACAAGCCCTAACCAAATCTATCCAAACTACTGGACAAATCATTTGATTATTCCTTGGAGCATTTTCACCGGTCACAAGTGCAACACTAGGATCCTTCTTTCGATATCATTCAAGCATCTCCATAAAGTTCCCATTATTTATTGATGTTTTAGACTCATCGTGTCCATGAAAAGCTAGAGCTTGCAAAAGGAGAAATCAAGCGATACCTAACATGATTGTTAAACGAGCTTTATATGCCTCCTCTGCTACTGCACTTGTCACAGTCCACACATGTTCTACACTTTACAAAAAAACAAATTTAGTGGATGATTGGATTGAGTAGCTCACCGTGTAGACAGGAGACAACCAAACAGGATCATAGGAGTGCAGCAGTGCGCTTGTGCTACCATGCAGGAGAGCAGGGCTGAGAAAGTGAGGAGGCCAGGACCAGGAGGAGGGGCAGCCGGCAGGCGACCTGGCAGCAGCCTGGACCTAGCCACGCACCCGTGCTAGAGAACTGGCTCAGCTGGCTGGCTGGCTGGAGACCTGGCCATGGATGGCTGCGGCTTGGAGGAGGCGGTCAGGATGCTTGCAGGAGGCAGCCGCGGCTAGGAAGGCAGCGATAGCGATGCCGATCGTCAGGAATGAGCTGGCACGGCGTCGGTACTCACGAATTGTGACTTGACTGAGCAGGGAAGTGGCCGAACGTCGGGCTCCTCACTTGTATCGGGCGTATAGTTGCAAACGGCGACTGGCACCCCATGAGCCCGCTGGGCTGCCTGCGCCGCAGGGCCAGCCTTAGCCCGTGCCGCAAGCCCGCATACCCGACACAGGTTTGTGCGGCTAATACGCATCGTCCGGCGGGCGTCCGCGAACCCGTCTCGACTCGATGCAGCGAGGTGCGAACCTCCCTCCCCCTCCGCCGACGCCGCCTCTGCTTCCACGGCTGGCTAATACGTACTCTTCCAGCATTGCGCTGCTGGACCGCTTCGGGCGCCTGCTATGGTTTGGAGGGGGTTGTCGGGCTGGGTTTGAAGACCAGCTCCATGTTTTTTTTGGCTGAGGATAGTGGCTGCAGGACAACTCTAGGAAAAAGATTGATTTACGACAACTCCAATACACACCAGTTTTTCTTTTTATAAAATTCCATCAGACTTAAATAAAAAGATTGACTTAGGACATCTTTAGAAATTGATTTATTTGTGGATTGAGACTGGTTTGTCATAATCTGTTTACCTAATCAAATGATTTGACTTAGGACATCAGACTTAAACCTTTTTGTCATAATCTGTTCTATATCCGTTCTGTCATAATTTGTTTACCTAAAATTGTTTTTTATGCAGAATAATACCACGAAGTAATGTCACAGTCCGGGGCCTCAAATGTTTCTAGGGCCTTTCAAAGGCGAAACATCGCCAGGAATCAATTTGATTCAGCCGTTGAACAGTACTGTCTCTGTCTTATCTTCAAATGCCAAACATTGAAATCAGTCCCTTGCTAATGTGTGGTGATATGTGACTTAGATGCTACTCCATCTATTCTAAATTACAAGTTGTTTTAACTTTTCTAGAAATATAGTTTTTATATGCATCTAGATACGTTGTCTACGTATACAGTAAAGACGACTATGTATCTTAAAAAGCTAAAATGACAAAATTTGTAACAAAGGGAGTAGTAAATGTCTATATATTATCTTTAAATTAAATGCCAAACCGTAAGCCCTGTCACTGGAGCAAGGGTGTGAAATTAAAACGTTCGACGGGAAATATAACTAAACAAGGGCTGGACCTCGCTGCTCCATCAATGTGGCAGGACGTGCTACACTTCCAGGGTGTGCATCGTGGCAGGTTGGCGATTAAGTGAAAGAGGACGAGACATGAGACAGTTAGGAAGTAGTTTGCAGTTGAAGGAAGGAGCAGATATGGATGGATGGATGGATGGATGGATGGAGATTCAGTGGTTAAAAGTACTGCAGGTCTTGGATCATGTCTTCCTTGTTAATCTGCAGGTCTTGGATGTAAGATGTGGAATTGGGGGGGCCTTAAGGGAAATAGCCAGATTCAGGTAATGAGTTAAAAAAATAAACTGCCATATTATACAGATGTCTCAATGCTATTTGTCATTCTAGCTCAACAGATATAACTGGACTAAACAACAACGCTTACCAGATATCAAGGGGCAAGGTTTGGTTATTCTGACTTATTCTTCAAGAAGTACAATATTAAACTTGTTAGCATATATACTTTTGCGTCAGATGCAATATAGGCTATTTGCATTTCAGGAGCTCAATTTTTCGGCCGGTTTGAGTGAGCAGTGCAACTTCATAAAGGTGAAGTTGTATCCGTTATCAGTAAATTATAATGGTTTTCGTCGGATCATGACCTTTCTTTATACTAAAATCTAATGTGCCTTACTATCTTTTTTGGCAATTGTAGGGAGACTTCATGAACATGCCATTTCCTGACAACACCTTTGATGCAGCCAACGCAATAGAGGCCACAATTTATGCTCCTGATGTAGTACGACTCACAAAATAAACTGCAAGCTAGAGTTATGTTTTTGAGTGAACACACAGTCCAGTGTTGCTGAGATTGTTTTTGGTATCTGGCTATTACAGCTAGGTGCCTACAGGGAGATATACCGGGTGCTGAAACCTGGTCAATATTTCGCACTAGATGGACTGCGCTTGACTGATAAATTTGATCCAAACAACGCTAAGCATAGGGACCTCAAGGCCAAAATTGAGCTCGGCTGTGCCTTGCCTGACGTCCGTACCACTCGTCAGTGCATCCAGGCTATGAAAGAAGCTGGATTCGAGGTGCTGTACTAAAACCATCAGGCTATGGTTTCAATGAGACAGATCTAGGTCAAATTACTTTGGGATATATAACGAAATGACTCTTCTGTTTGGCGAGGGATCTTGCTGAGGACTCTCCATGCCCATGGTACTGGGACATAGATGCCCACCTTTTCTCATGGAGCAGCTTCAGTTACTCTGGTGTCGCAAAGTTCCTCATGCGTGCAATTGTAAGTTACAGGACTGTACTGAGACATGTTTTTAGGTAGTCGTATAATCTGCA